TGATGGGGTCTATGTCTTCAAGGGTGTGGCGCCGGTTCGTGCTTACAAGACAGATGGAATTGGATCATGTGATTTGTGATCGGAGATTGGGACACCCTTTTTATCAAACAATTAGTTTGCTTCTTAATATCAGTAATAGTAAGAACAAAACTTGTGATGTTTGTTTGAAGGCGAAGCAAACTAGAGATGTTTTTATTCAAAGCGGCAATAAAGTAACTGATTGTTTTGCATTGATTCATTGTGACTTATGGGGTGCTTATAGAGTACTTGCATCTTGCGGTGTTGTATATTTTTTGACAATTGTTGATGATTATTCTCGAGCGGTTTGGATTTATTTGCTGGCTGAAAAAAGTGAAGTTGGTAGAACACTCAAAAATTTCTATGTCATGATTGAATGACAATTTAATAAGAAGGTTAAGGTGGTAAGAAGTGATAATGGAATAGAGTTTAAATCCTTGAAGCCATATTTTGACGAGCAAGGAATTTTATTTCAAACTTCCTGCGTTGGGACATCACAACAAAATGGTCGTGTGGAGAGAAAGCATCGTCACATTTTGAATGTAGGTAGAGCACTCAAGTTTCAAGCACATCTTCCGATCGATTTCTGGGGTGAATGTGTTTTGACCGCAGGATACTTGATTAACCGGACACCTTCGACCCTTCTTGGTGGTAAAACACTTTACGAGATGCTATTTGGACAAAGTCCTTCTTATAAACATCTCAGAGTTTTTGGTTGCTTATGTTTCTCGCATACTAGGGACCGTGACAAGTTTGCCACTAGGTGTAGGAAATGTGTCTTTGTTGGGTACCCTTTTGGGAAAAAGGGGTGGAAATTGTACGACCTTGAGTCTGGTGATTACTTCGTCTCACGAGACGTGGTATTTAGTGAGGCTGAATTTCCCTTTGCCACTCTAGAACATCAACCATCTGTAACCAATCCTCCCGTAGTCAAAGAAAATATTGGGTTGCCTTGGGCCACTCCTCTTGACAAGGTATCTAAGTCACCTCATATAGAAGTCAGGGGGAGCGACATGATCAACGAAGAAGGACATCCGAACATGGGCAATGATGAGGAGGTAGGTCCCCTTGATGAGATAGGGAGCCATACATATTACAGAGATAATGAAACTCCAGATGCTCCTCAGCCCACCACGGAGTTATTAGGCCACGAACATCGAGAAAAGCGGCCCCCAGCTATTTACAAGACTTTGTCACACACTCTGCTCGTCGTTTAGACCCCTCCACTGTTTCTCCTACATCATCCTAGTCCTCAGGTACTCCTTATCCCATAACTAATTATGTGATGTATGATAATTTTTTTGTGAAACACAAATATTTCTTGGTAGTTGTTACTGTAGGGCGATAACCTACTCGTTTCTCTGAAGCAATGACTGATGCTCAGTGGCGCGAGGCTATGCACTAAGAGATACAGGCTTTGGAAGACAATGGGACATGGACCTTGGAAGACCTCCTACTTGGAAAAAAGGCAATCGGGTGTAAATGGGTCTACAAAATCAAGTACAACTCTGATGGATCCATTGAAAGATTTAAAGCACGGTTGGTAGTCCTGGGCAATACTTAAGTTGAAGGTCTTGATTACAACGAGACCTTTGCCCCTGTGGCTAAAATGGTCGCAGATCGAACCTTCCTAGCAGTTACTGCAGCCCAACATTGGGAATTGCATCAGATGGATGTCCACAATGCTTTTCTGCACGATGATCTCCATGAGGAGGTCTATATGAAACCTCCTCTAGGTTTTTTGGCCTCCGGGACTGGAAATGTATGCAAACTCCGGAAATCTTTGTATGGTTTGCGGCAAGCCCCCCGAAATTAGTTCTCTAAGTTAGGTGCTGCTTTGAAAACTTTTGGGTTTGAACAGTCCTGTTCCGATTATTCCTTATCTACATATCGCAAGAATGGGCTTGTCTTGCACGTCTTGTTTTATGTTGATGACTTAATCATTGGTGGGAATGACCTGGCATTCATCCACAAATTTAATCAATATATGAACCGGTGCTTTTACATGAAGGACTTGGGTGCTCTTAAATATTTCCTGGCATTCATCCACAAATTTAATCAATATATGAACCGGTGCTTTTACATGAAGGACTTGGGTGCTCTTAAATACTTTCTGGATTAGGAACTTTGTTTTAAAAAGTCTTGGGAAGCAAGGAACTCCTCCACCCTATGTATATAAATACCATAAGGATCAATGCAACGGGCATCGTTTTTTTGGGGCTTCCGAAATTTTTCATCTAATTCTAATCACCTCTGCTCGATGTGATTAGGTATCCCAATGTCTTCAACCTCTTCTTGACAAAAATAGTCAAATCATTCAAACTATCACCTAGTCCAATTTTTCTTAAAACCTACTAATCGACCAAAAATCTAATTTGGACCATCCAACTTAGGCATTTAAATCATTATCCTGCTTGACTAGGTATATAGATGTATTGAAAGCTTTTGGAGAATATAATTTTGTGCTTGGTTATTCAATTGGGGTGATCTTTCTTTTTTCAATTTTTAGTAGCTTTACAAGATGTATGCATTGACACTTGACCAGCTATTTTTGCCCAAGAAAAAGACTTTTTTGGCCTCCAATTTCAATTTTATCTATTTTTTTTTTTACTTTTAAAAATAAAATATAAATTAGACCTAATATAAATCATATATACATATATTACATGTAGAATGCAATTATATGCATTTCAATTGATATAATACATGTTAGCATGCCACGGTCTAACCTATCCAACCCAGATGATGAAACCACTAACCTGCAACATAGAGGCAAAAATGGTTTAGCCTCTAGGTCAGTTTTTAAAACATTGAAGCGTTCATGATTTCTTGAAATATCAATTTTGATTATTCTTTTCTTATTTTTTTATAAAATATGAGGATGTAGCTACAAAAAACCTCATGAAAGCATTATAGTTGCACACAAGAACGATATTACACGAGCCTAAGAGAGCTCCATGTGGTTTGATTAACTACAGAGTTAGCAATAGATATGAACACTCGACTTCTATTTAGAGGGTGTTGTTCGTCGATTGTTTTTCATGTAAGTTCCAAAACGAAACTAAAATCATCTGTTTTGAAAACAAATTGATTCTCGAAACAAAAATATTTCATATTGCACACCAGCCCCTTGGTGGTCTTTTCAACATTGATACAAGATAGGTTTAGCTTAACACAGTTGCAATTCGGTGGGTTGTGAAACCAATACTAATGCTCCACACCAGTCATAAAAAGCACATAAAACTCACCAACATCCAATCCCTCACCATGGGCCTATGTATTTTATTATTGGCATGGAGCATAATCATTGGTTCCATAGCCTGCTACACCTAAAGCATTCATCTAATCGAACTGTTGATACTATCTAAAGTTCTAAACAGTTGTCAATGGATCGGGGGTTGGTTCAGGACAGGTTCACTAGTCTCGAAGAACCTACGAGTCTATAACTAGAATCAATTATTAATAGGGATAATTGTGGTCTTTGAACCTAATTATACTTGACATCTACAGTTACCTATGATCATAACAACTTAAAACTTTATATTTTATAATATAACCTTAATAAAAATGGTTGTGAAATGGTAAATTATTTATATGTCGTTAAAACAAGTATTTTTAACCAAAATTATCATATATACTATCTATAAATTTTATCCTTTTAGACATCAAATATAACAAAAATTATAAGAATATCAATAGGCTTTTATATTAATAACAATATAACCGGTTTGGTGTGTTCGATTCTATAGGGTAGATCCGGCCCATTGGCAGCTTTGATATAGATGTAACATTAATGGAGGGTTAATCCCAGTATGCTTAGCCGACCTCTGACAATTCTCGACAGGGGTTTGCATGCAAATAGAACGAAGATGGTTAATAAGCTAACGAGTAAAAGATTTAAAAGTTAAAACACCCTAAGTTTTCATAAATTGACTTAAACGTACCATATTTTTTTTTTCCAAAAGACTTAAATATACCTCATGGGCTGACCCACTGGACTTAAAAAAACCCTCCATCAATGAAACATCACATGTGAATTTATTTAAAATTCCTAAAATCTAATTTTGCCCTTCTAAGAAGAAGAAGAAGAAGAAGATGATGAAAAAAGATGAGAGGAGAAAAGATAAAAAAGGAATATTAAACACTGGTGAAAAAATAGGAGAGAGAGGGGGAGGAGGGAGGGAAATTGAAAAGTGAATTATTCGATCCAGTTGATATTCTGGATTTGATGGGTTGAAAGAGAGAAGGGATTGTTTCAACTTTCAAGTTCCGTCCCTCTTGCCCCAAAGAAATGTGTTTTATAATGTAATAGATTAACACTAGCACATTTCTTCTACCCCCCCACCCCCCTCTGTTCAATATAAACTCTGGAGTTGGAGATAGGATGGGATCATAGAAATGAACAAAATTTCAGCCAGCATTTCCACATTTCTTTCTTTATTTCTGTGTTTTTTTCATCCTATTATTGGGGGTTGGAGACCTATTATTCTTTGGTGTTTTCTATTGATACGCCCACCACTTGAGTTTGAAAAATTCAGAATATATTTTGAAAACTTGAAAGAAAGTGAAGGATAAAAAAGTCACAAGGTATATTTAAGCCTTTTTGAAAAACATAGGCCATGCCTAAGTCAATTTATGAAAACTCATCTTATGCTTAGTGTTTTACGTACCCTAAGCTAATTAATATGTAAAAAGGACTATCACATTAATATTTTTTCTTTTACGTACCCTAAAAGGGTTTAGGGGCGGAGATAGGATTTTTTATTGAGGGGGTCAAAAGCTAGCAAGCATGGATTTGGGGGGTGGGGGAAGCTAGTAAACATAGGTAGGGGGCCAAAATCTAAATGGGTATTATGGGAATTTTCAAGGCATAAAGGGGTCATGGCTCCCCTCTACCACCCCTAATTCCACCCCTGAAAAGGTCCAGATCTCCTAACACCAAATTTATCTGTTAACATGAGAAATAAAGAAGGAATTGAAAGTTTGAAGGAATCCCCAACATCAACATTGATATTTCAAATACAGATTTTTCTGTTTCATGTATAATTTATACATGATTTCATAATTCACACGTGAAGATGGTTTTAGTTGCATATGTTAAGGCCATAAAATGGAAGGTGTAGGCTTAAAACCTAGAGAGGAACTGTATTTGCTTCAGAAGAGGACTCAAACTCTCCATTAGTTTCTCACATGGATGGTTGTGTATGCCTTCATATGTTGTCACGACGATGCTTGTGTCCTTTGACAGTCGTTGAACCTGCTTCTTCACATTGCATGTATGATGCGTGCAGCGATAATAACTCCTTCGTTTGTATTAGAGAATGAAAAGATGATAAGAAGGCAATCGTTTGAAATAAAGAGCATGCAAATACAATGAAATAGAATACATCAATACATCATCCAATACGTAAACACAACATTAATTGTCTAAAGTTGGCTCCTTTAGTTATAGTCAAACATATTCAGAGAATCTGAGTTCTTATAGAGAATTGGACTTATGAGATCATTGCCACTTGGTTTTTAAACTCCATGTTTGAGTTTCTTAACCCTTTGATCTAGTTCTACAAATTAATTAAAAACTTCAATAGCAAGTTCATAAAACTTAACTGATTCTCACCGTTTTTGAGATCCTTTTTGTTAGGTTGTATTTGTCTCAAAGAACTGTTTAACTTAAGGTTATGTTTGGTTTGAAGGAAAATGAAGGAAAAGGAAAGGAAAAGTAAGAAGACCTTTACAAATCTTGTATTGGTTTCCCTGTTTTTTCCTTGCTTTCCCTACCTTTTCCTTCAAACCAAATATACCTAAAAGCTTAAGCTATTAAGTGAGGTGAAGTATTTATTCTCTAACATGCCCCTTTACATGAAAGTAGCTCATTGGGATTAAAGCATGGGCAAACATAGGCTCCACCTGGCCACCCATACCTTATGTTGAAATTAAATTAATTATAATGTAGACGACGAGGAGTGAACACTAGGCTACTTGGTTAGGCTCTGATAACACCTCAAAGAACTGATCAACGTAAAAGCTTAAGCTATTAGATGGGGCATTTGAAATAAGTATATATAATCTAAAAGTTTGATACCATTCCATCTGAAGCCTTTTGAGTTGTTCAATACAAATTGGTGAGAGATGTGTATTATCACATCATATATGAAAATAAGCTCAGTTAGAATGATTTTTTTTTTTTTTGAACCAAGCGAAAATTTTATGGCTGTTAATGGGTTAGATCCAACCTGACGGATCCTATGGACTTGAACTGGTTGGGTTAGTTATGATTTAAAAAATCGGAACCGATGGATTGGTTCAAACCTAAATTACAGACCCAATTGGGTCGGGTCTAATTCGACTCCGAATTCTTAACATTTAATTCCTGTCAGATAGGCTTCAATTCCACCTGGACTCAGCTCAGACCCGACCCATTTTTTAGGGTATAAGTAGCCTGAAGTCTTAGCACAGTCTTCCTGAAGATCAGAGACTATGAAATTAGGTGCGCCCACTGCTGAGATGGAGAGGCCCATGTTTAGAGTATAAATAGATACTTCGTGGGCAGGTATGTTCCCCGATTTAGAAACATAAATCATGGTTTTTAAAAACGATCCAGTGAGCAAATCGGTTAGGGGTCTAGTTATCGGTTCGAATAGTCTGATCATTCGATCTGAACGATCAACTCGTTCTAACAAAAAAATAAAAAAACCGTTAAAACCGTTTGAATGATTAACTGGCCGGTTTAGCAATTTACTGACTAAAATCAACGATTTAAAAAAAAAAACAGAACTGGTCAAGCTCGATTTTCTGGTCCGATCTGGTTTTGAAAACCATGACATGAACAATGCTGATCTTATGTAACTAAGACAACCTTCCAGGCATGCAATTTTATAGGTATGCCTATTTTCAACTATAAACGGCATCCACCTAACTTTTCTCCTAGCTTAAAGTGGATATTCTTCTAATGGTTTTAAAGATCTCAATTGTATTAAATGATTTGCTTAAAGTGGATATTCTTCCAATACAGATGTGGCCCAAGGGGGGGGGGGGCTGTGTGTCATTGTTATGTATTGCAGTATTATACTGTATCATGTCTCTTAATGAAATCTGACTTTTCCGCCCATCTAATATCCAAAGAGTGTGTTGTAACAAATATATTTTTTAATCCAAAAGCGTTATTGTGCCCAAATGCTCTTTGCAATAAAACTCTTTCCTTTTTCTTCCTTTAGGGAAAATGACCAATCAGCTCAGATTAGAATTTTATAACCCTATAATGTATTCTGACTGTAAATTAATACCAAATTTACGAGTAGGATGTAATTTATAGAAGGAGAAAGTTAGTAGTAGGGGAGGCTGGAATTCAGAATTCTATGTTTCCGTACTTCTCCGTTTTTTTATCCATTTCAAAAACATGATTTATTCTCATGATTTGATGTTTTAATTAGTTCATCTTTCTTGCTAAAAAAAAGTTCATCTTTCATATTTTATTTGTATTAGGAAATTGTGAAACGCCCTAGGGTATCTGACAATCTTATATACTTCCCTTGACTTTTTGAAAAAAAACAAGTGCATTAATTTTCTAAGTGGGAAACAGAGACTAATGCAATAGTTTTTCTTTTTTTTTTTTTAAATACCATATTTATCCTTGGCCAATTTTGTTTAAATGTACAACTACCAAAATACCCTAAAAGAATAATATTCCAATGTAAAAAACCCAATAAGAGAGATGTTCCAAAGCTTCTAAATATCATCAACAACAATAAGATGAGAATCGAACTAGATGACATGATCGACACAGGGCTTGAATATATCAGCTTTCTATTCTCCTCCTGTGATGCCTTAATGGTAATAAGGGCATTTTTATAACTTTAACACCTTTATTAATGAAAGGCTAACGGAAGTGAGATATTTGGGCTTTTTTTTTCTTTTTTTTTTTTCGAAATGCTAGGAAAGGTTTTTGTTAAGGTCAAAACATACGAGAGGTTTATAGGATTGTCAAAAAACCTAGGGGAGGTTTATTTAATTTTCCCTTATTTTTCTTTACTGTGTACACAATCCATTTAAATTCATAACTGCATTTAAAGTATGCTGAGTCTAATTTAGTAATAACTTGTTTTCTATTATTGTCTTCATGAATCTATTCATGGAGCAAATGGAACCTCCCCTGAACTTTATGATATAGTTGCAAGTAGACCCTTTTGGGTAGAATTTTTTAAAAGGGTAAATTGCTGAAACCTCCTCTAAAGTTTGGTAATTAAAATCACCTCCTATAAACTTTCTCACATAGTTACAGGTAGGCCTCTTCAGTTAGAATCTTCTAAAGGTAATTGAATTATGAACAACAAAAACAAAGAGAATTCAATATGCAGTTTTACCTTTGAGTGATTGATATGAAGGGCAAATTTAAAAATCAAATAAATTTCAGAAAAGAGATTGGAAGGGGGGTAGTGATTCACATGACTAGAGAATTTGAAAAGCAAACATTTTTGTTAAAAATAACTGCATGGGTATTTTGGACACTTTCATGCCTCTTTTTAGAAGACTATTAGAGCAGATCTAATTGCATCTATGTCAAAAAGTTTAGAGGAGGTGATAGCATTTACTAAAATTCAGGGGAGGTTTCAACAATCAAAAACTTCAGTTTCAACAATTTACCCTTTTTATATATACAAGCTTTTAAAAAAATTGTATATATACCTTCTAAACTAAAAAGATTATTATTTTTTCAATGGTTAATGCTTTAGAAGAGAAAAAGTTGTAAGAGAGAAGAGGTAGGGCATAGGAATGACATATGGGCAATAGCAAAGATCACAATAGCCACTTAGAGGGTCCCCCATTTGATAGCTGCTTTGTACTATTATCACCAATAATCCCTTTGCATGGCAGAAATAAGTGGTTTGAACTGTCTACAATTCTATTAGGGATTGCAACGAGGCATGTTTTGTAAATTTTAGACTTTATCCAAAACCCATAGTGAGTTGGATTTTATGAATCCAAACCCTCCTCGACCCTACCCTCTCCGCATTTAAGGGTAGGGTGGGTTGGGTTTATAATAATCTAATTTCTCATTATTTCTTGTTATATATAAGTAATAAATAAATAAACAAATAATAAGTTTTTTAATTACAAAAAACACATAAAGTACCAATTATCATTCACATAAAACTCAAAATATTATTAAATTCAACACCTAATACATAAAGTTAATTTATATGCTTTCTAACCATATGCCGATTTAAGAGGGTCGGATTTAGCTTAATGCATACCCTATCTGTACCTGTAGGGATTGTAGAATCCCAAAACCTGCCCCCGCTCTTCAAGCAAAGAAAAAAAAAACACTCCATTCGGGGCAGGTAGGTAGGGTAGAAATGATCTCCCTAAATTCTACATTGATAGTGGGCTAATCAATGTGATACAATCACGTATAACTGTAAAAGATTTGGAGTCGAAACAAGTAAGGTTGTCCGGGAATGAGTGTAAGTGACCTGATCATGGTTGTAAAACTCAATGAGTCAGTTGAAAACTCGTCCGACTATTGACTCAGATGGCTAGGAACCGTAGCTTGAGTCAAATATTCCGTTGGGAGACTTCAGCAGTTCAGCTTTGGATTTAGCTCTTACCCACTTTTGAATAAGTTACTAGAACCCAACTTTATCAGAAAGTCAATTTATTGGTTGAGTGCCTTTTGGCTTTGGGAGAGCTTTTACGCAGAAGCTTCCAACGTTGCAAGATAAAGCTCCACAGGGAAAAACATGAAACCATATCTAAATAAAAACCCAAAAGTTTGCATAAATTGAAAATTTGACTTTCTGTAAAGTTATGTTTGGTAACTTTTCCGAATCAGATCAGTCAAGGCAGCTCAATTCGACACTCCCAAATTTTACCTTCCACGTATTGCTAGGTTCCACCTTAACGTTACTCATCCAAGACTAAAAGTCTAAAACCAACATGGCATAGCGGATTCTTCTTCGAACTTCTGCTGTTTCTAATTATTTTTCTGAATTTATGATCTGGTTGGACTAGATGGTCGGACCTCAAACCGGAATTACAACTTCAATTCTAAGAAATGTTGATTTGGTTAAATTTATCCCGGTTATGTGTTAATAAGTGTCGTATCCTTTTATATATTCATTGTTTCCGACTTATTTTGATACAATAGGTTTAAGAAGATAATTTAGGACCTTTTTTTTATATTTTATATGGGTTTTGTGGATTTATTTTGCGATCCATATCAAACAAATGGTAATGTTTATGGGGGAATTCTAAGGCGATGTGTAAATGATTAGTAGGGATGGCAAGGAGACTGTTTTAGCCAGGGATGAGGATTAATCAGATGCCTAATCAAGGACAGAGACAAGGACAGGGAGTGAAAAACAAACACACCACCGTTTGCAATTAATTCAATACATTATCAGTTGATTTATTTCAAACGGTGGCGTGTTTACAATTCACTGGGAGTCGTTGAATTGTTCTGCGAGACTTCGACCAGGTAAAGGTTTATTCACCCTAGCATGAGCATTGATTTCCCAGTTCAGGGCATTTTAACACACGGAAGGAATTCCACACAGAGCAGAGCAGGGTTCCTGAAGAAACCTCTCTAGAATGCATGGTTCCTGAAGAAACAGCTTTTATTCCACCAACAAGCTAATGAATCGAAGAATATATTAATGTAATGAGGAGATGAGTTACCTCCTCATGTTTAGAGACTGATCAGAATTATATCTTAAGGCATGATTTAATATGTTGCATTCATAGAGAGGATGATGGTGCAACAGAAGCCAGCAGTAGTAGGTCGTAAGAAACTAGCTAGAGGCATATATGCATGATATCATATGGACACACCTGGGAAAGTTGCTGTTCTTCACAGCTTTCTGCCCGTATTTCCTCCAGCGGTAACCATCATCGAGAATATCTTCTGTGCTCCGCGTCTGGAACGCAAACCTCGGCCGACTTGCCTTCTTCATCCTGCTCGATTTTACCTTATCTTTACCACTCTTTTCATCTTCGGCTTTATTTCCAGTTCTAGTTGTCACATCTGCATTCGACAAGAGTGGCTTCTGCAGATCGCCAAATCCAAATGGCGAAGAGAGGAGGCTAACCCAGTCGATGTCTGGTAGGATATTGGAACCTTGCAGCAGGTTATAAGGTTGATAAAGAAGAGGAGGGTGCAATGACGTGGATGCAAGTGAGGGTGTCAAGATGTAAGATGGGTTATTGTGGGACGACAATGGTGGCAGTAGTGGTGGGGCTTCTCCTTCCATGGGCAGGGCTCCACCGTGAAAAGATGCACAAAGAGTTCTGGTCGTGAAGAAGTACTAAAGGATCCCTTTAAGCTCTGAATTGGTGAAGGTTAGAGGAGGTTGGACAGACCCTAAAGAGACGAGTCGAGAGAGAGAGAGAAATTCTGTCATCTCTCTTATCACAACACCCCTAGCCAACTAAATACTACCTACTGTACGTTTATTTTTTCTGTTCAACTGTCTCAGACCGATGAACCAAATTGTTGTAGGACTACAGTTATAAAAATAAGAACTTAGCACTCCACCGCTCCATTCCATGCCTTCGAGTGACTTCTCTCGTGCACTCGTGCCCAAAGGCCAAAACGAATGTTCTAGGTATAAAAATTTGGTTGACCAACCCGTTGGGTCACCATCTTTTGACTAGTCACTGCTGGTCGATGCATGGTTTTCTTTCCTTTCGTTTCCTTTTCTTCTGGTTAAACACAAAATACTATCAGCTATACCTCTTCCCTCAATCTCTACGTTTCCCGGCGATCCGGCAACAGCATGACGGCCCGGCAATCGAATTTTCATCTTCTTTTTAAACCTAAATTGTGTCATTATAATCACTCAAAAGTCGAGAGATTTTTCGGGCCGATTATGCTACCTCTGCAGTTCTCCGGCGGTACTCTCGTCAGAGTATTGAAATGAATGATGGGGATTTTCGTAGCTCGCATGGATTACGAAACATGATGTTTTTTCCTCTGTTTTTTAGGGTTAGCGAGCATTTTTAATGCTTACAAGTTTAAGGATGGAAGGGGAAACGCTGCGCGCAGGAAAATCAATGGAAATTAATGAGAGAGAGAGAGAGAGAGAGAGGATATCAGTCTCATCTGATTCGATTGTTGCTTTGCCTTAATTACTTGCTGCAAAGCAGAATGGACATGAGTGGAGATGGACCATCCCCTGGTTTCCAGTTTGATGGATTAGAATGAATAAAATTAATAATTAAATATTTAAATGCAACGTACTCAACCGACTTCAGTTTCAGACTTTCAACCACGGGTATTAGGCAATCGTCTAGCTAGTGAGCCCTAAATATTTATTATCTATTTGCAGCTGTTGGGGAGGGTGACCTACCTACAAGGAGACCGGATCTGCTCCTCGCACCAACCTCAACCTCACGCGCGCACGACTTGAAATGTGATATAAGGTTGGTGTAAAAAGTTCTAAGACTCAGATTGGAAAGAATATAAATGCAAATATGTATAATACAAATATATAAAATAATACAAAATGTAAGATTTTGCACTCCGCATATTTGTATATTTGAATATCTGTTATACGATCAAGGTTTACCCAAACGATTTAGCTGTTCAGCAAGAATCAATGATAAGGTTTAATGCCAGTACTAAATATATAGGGCTTGCATTATTTTTTACGGTGAGCCCATGAATTTATTACTTGCGTGGAACCTCATCATTGGTTCCACAACACGTGGAACAGGTAATCTGAATTCTTGTTAGATGTTTATAATAGGATATATAACTGATGAAGGGTGATTTGGTCCGACCTCGTAGCCCAGGGACACGTGTATATGACCTGGCCTAGTGAACAGCTCAGCCTGACAGCATGACCGCAACTCGATGGGTGAGACACGCCGAGTCCAACGCTGGTCACAAGGCGAGTTAAGCAACTCGTCGGGGACCAACGCCTGGTCAATTTTGACTCCCACCAAGTGTGGAAGGTCCCAAACTATCCCAGAGGCCCGAGCTCCCCCTAAGGGGTCCGAAGCTCTCCCTTCTCAAGGAGGAAGCACCCCGGCTCTTGGCTAAGTGTCC